TTTCCCTTGTGTTTCTCATTCTTTCCCTGCCATGTCGTAAAATGTGGTGAACCCATCGCTGTATTTGCTCCAAAGCAAATATTGGCCTTTCTAGTTCTGTTTTATGTTGGCCTACCTTGGAAATCAGTTGTCCTAAACTGAAGGTACCACCCAACCGTTTTTAAGATCAATAAATAAATAAATAAATAAGTAGACGTACTTGATGGTGTTCAAAAAAGGTATTTGCAATGGGTCAGACACATGATGGTACAAAAGGGAAACGTAAAGCCTAAAATGGCTTCACGCAATCATGTAATCATTTCAAGTCTCTTGTGAACAATGTAGAACAGGTTTCTAATATATACAAGTTTAACTTCTTACTTCACCAAGAAAGTTACAAGTGTAATGATAGATTAGAAGATTTTTTTCTATAATAAGATTATTGATCATGATAATCCCATCAAAGACAAAAGCAACTGAATGTTATATTGGCCAATGTTTTGTAAATGCGGGATATTATTACACATTATTTGGAAAATGTAATATTTTCACGACAGTTTTATTGCTTTGACTACAGCAAAGTATTTTCAGTCAAAAACCTTGAATACTGTACTACAAAACTAATGTTGTCATTTGATATATAATTAATTTTATGATGACAGTATCTTCATAACATTTTAAAAGACAGAAAGGTTGAACTTTAGGAATTGAAGGCATGAATTTGAGTTGCGGTAATGTTGAAAAAGCGGCATATTTATTTTGGGTACTTTACAAAGGACAACCCATAAAGTTAATATTTTAATTCAGTAATTTGCTTATATGCTTACTAAGAACATTTATAAATATTAGCGTTGTAAATAAACTGCACTCGATGTTTTTTCAATTGGCAAACTGCGTTTGTACGACCAAGTTTCTGTTCTGACAATTTCTGCTTTAGACATAAGTAAAATTAAACAAATCTAAATAAAGAACAATATTATGTCACAATTGAGTCTGCACCATAATAATTTGCATCGTAATGAGTGCTTATAAATCTGAATTATTAATTCTCGCCATGGCCGTAGAAAAGGCATTTTAATCTAAACAAAAAATTTATAATGTTGTTCTTAGAATATGTTATAATAGGCAGGGCTGTACGTATATGTGCTGATCACAGGTATCACAAAGGAAGCCTAGCTATAGAACCCTACGGTACGAATTAATTAACACTCATGTGACCTCTGCTGCAGAAACAGTATTCATCGACAGAGGTTTTCCTGTGGTAAATTTGCAACACAACAACATGAAAATGTACGAAAATATGAAAATCTGTCATCAATGTCTAATGTTAACATTTATAACAACCCCTTAGCAATGTGACTGTAGGATGCTTACCTTTAGTGCATAAATGATCGGGTCTCATTCGTTTAAAAATCAGAAGATCGTTTTGTTAAACAGGTTCGTGAAGATCGCAAGGTGAACAAATTTCAAGAACACTGAAAAGTTACATACCTCACAAACAAACAAGGATGGCACCCTCTGGGTTGTATCGGGTAAAAAACAACGATTCGCGTGACTACGAAATGTCTTATCAATTCTTACACTGTCTATGTATAAGAAATTTTTTTTTTAAACCTAAAGCAAAACAGAAACAGCAGCTACTCGCAATATTAAACAGTCACGGAGTAGCGTCTTCAAGTTTTCAGGGCAGGAATTATCAATGACGAGGACCATGTTGTTACACCCCGGTAACCGGTTCGACCAGATCAAAAAGAACAAAGTGCGACGACCCTGGATTCCTGCGGACCACACAAACAATCATGACGCTCTCTGTGCTGTTACGGCAAAGGTTTGCAGTACGAGAAATAACCAGCAAATATTCACGAGCAATTGGCGCGTCATTTTCATCAGGGTACCGTGTAGGAATGCCTGAATATATGCCGACCGACCCGAAGACGCTACCGTCCCAGGTTGGACATACATGTACATGTACTACTAAACAACAACCCAAGGTCATCCATTTTTCACGAGTCAGATTCCCTCCGCAAGTCGTAGTGAGACGCTTCACCACTTCAAGTGAAAGAAGAAAGGGCCATGAAAGTGCGGTCATGGGGAAGGCGGCTTTAAACGAAGCTGCTAGGATGGTGGAAGTGGAATGGTCTGACGGGGGTGTCAGCCGGTTTCCGTACGTCTGGCTGAGGGACAATTGTCAGGTGAGTCGTGTCTGTACAGGTGAAGCACCTGTCATACATAACTGAATATGACATCCCGAACACTGTCGACCCCCCTCCCACCCCCAATGATTAGGAGTAGATCGGGGGCAAGGTCGGCTATGATTGCCTGGCCTTGGGTGAGGTCGGCTACTGTTCGCCTGCGCCAGCCGAATGTTTCAAAATGTTTCAAACATTCCGGTGTGGTCGGAAGGTCTGGCCATGGCTAGCTGGTGTTCGGTCTGCCAAATTTGACAACTACACGTTTAGTGCACTAGTCTAATGTTGTTCTATGCTCTGTTCCCTCGGCCGCATTCTTTGAGTTACTTATGTGTTACAAAATGTTGCTAGGGCGATTTAAGTTTGGACACAAAGACAAAGGGTCAAGGCCACTTGGTATAGTAATACGTAAGGCCTGTCAACAAGGTTAATATTAAATGCCCGCTGAGGTACTAGTACCTAAGGCCACCATGGTATAGACCACGGGTTGAAAATGTTGCCAAGTAAGTGGAAATAAAGTGTCGACTCCGTTCCAATTCTGTTTGTGACTTTGTGTATTTTTGTTTGTTACTACAGTGTCCACAGTGTTTTAACCCTGATTCCCTCTCACGGCGTGTTCTGATGAACGATCTGGATGTGAACGTTTCCCCAGTCAGGGTAGAATTACAAGGTGAATTGACACGTCAAACCACTTTACTGTGTCATTTTTCCTAACAAGTGTATAGATGTAAGAAAAAACTGAAAACAATGTGTGAATACAGAGTAAAGAGACTCTTTTTACACAACAAAGGGTTTTATTCACAGCCGACGTTTCGGTGACCGTCTGTCACCTTCCTCAGGGCAATTTTGACTGGTTCACATTGCACTGCAGCACAGGTGTCGCTGCTATAGATGCATTCCCAAACTTACAATATTTACACATATGCGTGATTACAAGGAACTGCATGTGTCTACAACGCGGTCCCAAACGTACGGGGATATAAACCTTATTCTGGTTAGTTATCAAACAAAAGTAGTTACAAAGAGCAGACGCCACAGTGTGGTTCCAAACCAACAGGAGTGTAATATGTACATGACAGTCATTTAAGGCCACACCAAGTAAATTTTATGGATGACGTCCGTGCGCGCATTGATTTTGGCATGTTCCTAGAAAAAAACCCAAGAAATTCCGCTTCCTGTAACTATGACCAAAGAGTCACGACAGTGCCACAAATCGTTAGATTGACGTGAACCTCGCAAAATTGTGATGAAACAGGACAAGATGATAACTGCTGTTCCACCTGATTGCTATTTTGATGATGAATAAACGACTTCTTGCTTTTTACCCTGTGTCACCACATTCAATTTGTGTCCTAACCTTTGTCGTCTCTTAGTATATTTCTAATCTAGGCATCTTGTTTTTCACGGCTTTCTTGTTTTTTTTTCGCCCTCTCGCATTAGATTTAGGGTATCCAAAGGCATCCATAAAATTTACTTGGTGTGGCCTAACACACAATAACTCTAACTTCTTAAGAATGCGGTCCCAAACGTGACTGAGTCTGTACCCCCCCCCCACCCAACTCCGATTTCCTAATACATATCTATTGTCCCCTTATAGAAGTAGGACTTTATTGTGTTAAATAACCGACATTCCTGTAAGTTTGGAACCGCATTGTGGAGTCCGCGCATTTGTTTAAACTGGAGCGGTATGATTTTAAGACCATAAGACATCATATAGACCATAAGACATCATATAGTGTCCTCCTGGCTTAAAAGTTTAATGGTCAGTGAGCATATAGGGCAAGGCCACATATGTAAAGATACCTTTATAAGCCCCTGTCACACATATTCCCACGAATTTCTTCCGAACATCAGCCGAACAGGTCGGCTGTCGACCGGGCACACTCTGACCGGATTAGGCTACCTTTTGTATAAGACTCAAAACGAATTTGAGTTAAATTGCAGACCAAATTTGATCCCTCAACACGCCCCGAACACAGCTGACTTATTGTATCGAATTTGCCGAACGCCAGCCAACCCAGCCAAACACCAGCCCAAGCTGACCCACTCCTAACTATGCTCGGGGCGTTCGGCTATAGCCTGAGTGTCAGCCTTGTTAGTTTTTCGTCCGCTCCCCGCCAAGCTTTGGTCCGCTCCCCAACAAGGCTGACACTCAGGCTCGTTCGGCTAGCGTTCGGGAGGCCAAATTCATGAATGTGTGACAGAGGCTTTAGCGTCCAGGATGTCTGTTTCTCTCCATTTCACAATTAATATTTCACAGTATTCTCAAATGCACATGTGTTGTATCCAGTCACGTTATTTCACATTTCTTGAAGCTGTTCCGCCAAATCCACACCGTCAGTCATACTGTTTCTCTTCCCAGCGAAGGGGAGTTTGCTGTCAGTAGAATGGCCGCAGGGACACGAGAGTCAGTACGACTGTCATTGGCTGAGAGAACGCTGTTTCTCACCACAGGCTCTGTCAGAGAGGGAAAGAGACTGGCAGAAAAGGGTAAAAATTCAAACATTTCTTGTTGTTCAACAACAGCGTAGATCATCCTAATACAATTGTATAAAATGAATTCTTTGTCGTCTCTTTTGCAACACATTCAAAACAAGAGTTAGCATGCTGCATGTTTTCGGCGTTTCTATTTTCGTGTTTGCTTGTGTTTTTCATAATCTTTCCACTTGTCAGGCCCGTCTAAGACAGGGATAAAATTTAGGTATATGCATAGCCGGCGGACAGTATGAAAATCAGCCAGAAATTTACAATAATGAATAAAATAAGAAATTTACGAAAACCGTTAGGTATGATGTCTTCCTTTTTTTATTCTCTGCTGCAGACACAGTTATGGGGGGCAGAACTAGCACACAACCTGCCCAAAGCTGATTTTCCCGCCATACTGACAGACGACCGCGCATTGCACGACTTTTTGGTCGTCCTGGATTCTGTCGGCCTCGTTCTTGTGCAAAACGTCCCCTGTGACGTAGGGCAGGTGGAACGACTGGCCAATCGGGTGGCGTTTCTCAAACCCACGTCCTACGGGTTGGTGTTTTCATTGTAATCATGATCAGATCCAATGATATTCTCTGTCTTACTGTAAAGAATGCCAGATGAGTTTGTAGACAAACAGGCAAGTGTATACTTGAAAAAGAGCAAGAAAAAGTGACGATACACTAAATTCAAGCCGATTTTGTTGTTTCTTTGATCAATGATAGATTTACAAAAACTCGTTGCCATTATGTACTCTATGTTCTTTTTATTGATATATTTGCATAGCAAATTAAAATGAAATCTGACCAGTTTTTATAAGTAAGACGACAGACCATTGCAGGCCTAGGTGCTATCCGTTTTGTAACAGTTGCACTTTCGGGTGCATAAACGGATGGCTTCAATACTAGTATAATGTTCCCCGATCATCATATCAATTACACGGATTAAGAGAAATAATATTATTAATCTCCTCACACAGAAAGGAATTCGAGGTGGTAAAGAAACCAAAACCTAATGACTTGGCGTACACCACCGTTAAAATTGGACTACATACGGACCTAAACTACTACAGCTATAGACCAGGGGTAAGTCCAGCTTTGTGTTCTTTATTACCTCCATGACATGTCATGTAGGTTATGTTTTCAGTTGCGTGTGTCTGTATGTCTGTCATTCTGTTGGTCAACAAGATCACTCAAGAACGGCTGAATGGATTGATTTGATACTTGGTGCGAAACCTGGAAATGATGAGATTTTGGGCCCCTAGTGGCTTCCTTTCGTACTGCAGCATGACCTCCGTGATATCTCGCCATCTGGACATGCTTGGGTCATGAATTTTGGACGGTAGGTAGTTCTTGTGCTCGGAAAGAAGTCACGTGAGTTTAGGCCCCCTAGCAGCTCGCTCTGCAAATGCAGGATGGTTTATTTAAAAATCTTCAAGAGAGGATAACTAAAAACTAAAAAATAATTAATAATAGTCAGTTTGGACGGCAAACATGATTTGGCAAAGGTATGTCAGAGGTCGTACTTGCATGTTACAAGGTAGTGGCCATGTGAATAATTTGCATTAAAATTTGGATAATTAGCAGGATTGTAAATGTAAGCCATTTACAGGTGGTCATCACCATGCATAAAATTTACGAAAGCACTAAACATGTTATGGAGGTATGAGATCGCCGAACTCTAGTATTTACAATTTCAAGGTGGCAAGACTGGAGTTTCAAAGTCAATTCTCTGGTCCTTCCCAAAACAATACCTTCGTTTGTCATGGAGTAATTAAGGGACACCTCACACCACTTGTTTGGGGGCTATTTTAACGCTTCAAGTATGAAATGATGCCAAAAATTTGCTAACAAAATGACAATAACTATCAATATTAGACAGATTTCCTTATCAAGACTATTTTGTTCATTTGTTGTCCTGCAATCACATTGAATGCCTCCAATACTTCCAGTAAAAATGCGTTATTTACAGGTCCAAATGCTCCATTGTATCGAGCAAACCAGGGGGGAGGGGGGCGACAACAGCCTGACTGACGGTATCAACGCCGCTTATCAACTTAAGAAGGAGAACCCGGACGCCTTCCGACTTCTCACCACGCTCAAGGTCAACTTTTATTGCACAGGAGTGGACCTCTACAAGTTCTTTTTCAGGCAACGACGAAACGTGATCAGGTGACAAGTAAACTTTTCAACAACAAGACAAACAAGGAAAAATAGTATTTGCATCCCTTTTTACACAACCAGTAGGGTATTTCGCCTGCTTACGTTTCGATGTCCAGCTATAGAGATTCTGACTAGAGTACCATGTACATGATGTACAAAATGACTAATAAACTGGTGGACGTACCAACAACTAAGTACCTAATACCAGCCCAGAAAAGAGCAAGAAATAGCCACGCCTTCAAGTACCAGAGTTATCAGCCAAGGATAGAGGTGTTCAAAAACTCACTCTATCCTAGAACTATATCGCAGAGTGGAACTCGCTGTCACCAAGTACAGTAGGGACATTATGATTAGATAATGTTTAGAGTTAGATGTTCAAGGTTAGGTGTTCCAAGTCGTTCGGTGTAATGGTGCCTGCGAAGCTGGTGTGTTACGCTGAAGGGTGGTTATACAGGCTATACAGATACAGATACTACTTCTCGACGCGCCATGTAGGTGGCGCTTTTGCGGCGAAAACATGATTCCAAACGTGGCTAAGTTTGTATCCACTCTTGTGTCAGTTCATGGACTGCTAGTAGCGGCGAGAAGCGGAACTCCAGTCAAGTGTCTGATAGGCATCCAGACGCAAACGAGGTAGAGAGTCGACACTACCGGTTGTGTAAAAAAAAGATACCTATGCCCCATTTTGTATCAACCTAATGAAATTATTTTCGGACAAAAAAAGAAAAAGTATACTATTTTTGGCTGACACAACCGTGACACACGGAAACAAATTTGCAATAAAAACTCTTTATCACATTTTCCCCGTATTTTGTCCAGCCTAAATGACCAAGGCGAGGTCCAGTCCGTCAGCTTCAGTGACCAGGCCCGGGACTCCATCTTGGATCTGCCTGCCGACCAAGTCCAGCCTTTCTATGACGCCCTGAAGGCCTTTGACACCATCATGTACCTACCTAGGAACTGCCTACGTTTCAAAATGGCGGCAGGTCAGATACAACAGACACATAATGTTTTAAAAAGTTTAGAGCCAACACGAAAGGTTGTTCTCACCTAGAGCTTTTGACAAGAAGATTCCTCAATAGACTGGCCCAGGTTTAACTTTTAGCATGTAACTATATACCAACACAGATGAACTTTCATCTGTTCCCTATGTCTTGGCACTCATCAAACTATTGAGTCAACACTGTAATCAAATGGTATTGCCAATTTTTACGGCTGGATAAATCCGGTCTTATTCTCATCAAAGATTCAGGTGACGAAAAAGATTCACTGTGGAGCACTCGGCACTAGACTGATGGACGAAAACATATAATTAGTGATACTATTTGTTCACAGTGTTGGAGTGAGAGAATGATTTGGACTACAATAATTTTTTCCTTCCACTGGTCTGGGAGTACCCTGGGAGCCATCCTCGTTGGTCGTCGGGGAGAGTTAGTAAACGCCGCGGGCCCTGGTTAGCCCGTCCCCGGCACACGCCCTCCCCGCCCTACGCTGGGCACCACATGCGGAAACCCTCTAGGCCGCGCGCTGAAACCCTATGCGGATACCCTCTAGGCCGCGCGCTGATAGTAATTACGCAAACCCCCTAGGCCCTCCGACCCAACGAGTCTGGAGAAGACTCTCTTGGCTGTCAGTTTTTTGGCACAGATTCTGTGCCGGGATTACCGGCAGGCCAATAGCGGCTGGAACGTTTTGGCAC